CTCCGGATGGGCGCCAGCTCGCCTCGGGCTCCTACGACAACACCGTCAAGCTCTGGGACACGGCCACCAGCCAGTGCCAGCAGACGCTCGAGGGCCACAGCGGCTCGGTCTGGTCGGTGGCCTTCTCTCCGGATGGGCGCCAGCTCGCCTCAGGCTCCTACAACAACACCGTCAAGCTCTGGGACACGGCCACCGGCCAGTGCCAGCAGACGCTCGAGGGCCACAGCGACTCAGTCTGGTTGGTGGCCTTCTCGCCAGATGGGCGCCAGCTCGCCTCAGGCTCTGACGACAACACCGTCAAGCTCTGGGACACGGCCATAGGCCAGTGCCAGCAGACGCTCGAGGGCCACAGCGACTCGGTCTTGTCGGTGGCCTTCTCGCCAGATGGGCGCCAGCTTGCATCGGGCTCCGACGACAACACCGTCAAGCTCTGGGACACGGCTACCGGCCAGTGCCAGCAGACGCTCGAGGGCCACAGCGACGACGTCAGGTCGGTGGCCTTCTCGCCGGATGGGCGCCAGCTCGCCTCAGGCTCCAGCGACAGCACCGTCAAGCTCTGGGACACGGCCACCGGCCAGTGCCAGCAGACGCTCGAGGGCCACAGCGGCTCGGTCTGGTCGGTGGCCTTCTCTCCGGATGGGCGCCAGCTCGCCTCGGGCTCCTACGACAACACCGTCAAGCTCTGGGACACGGCCACCAGCCAGTGCCAGCAGACGCTCGAGGGCCACAGCGACTGGGTCTTGTCGGTGGCCTTCTCTCCAGGTGGGCGCCAGCTCGCCTCGGGCTCCCGCGACATCACCGTCAAGCTCTGGGACACAGCCACCGGCGAGTGCCAGCAGACGCTCGAGGGCCACAGCGGCTCGGTCTTGTCGGTGGCCTTCTCTCCGGATGGGCGCCAGCTCGCCTCGGGCTCCCACAACAAGACCGTCAAGCTCTGGGACACAGCCACCGGCCAGTGCCAGCAGACGCTCGAGGGCCACAGCGACTGGGTCTTGTCGGTGGCCTTCTCGCCAGATGGGCGCCAGCTCGCCTCAGGCTCCGACGACAACACCGTCAAGCTCTGGGACACAGCCACCGGCCAGTGCCAGCAGACGCTCGAGGGCCACAGCGACTCGGTCTTGTCGGTGGCCTTCTCTCTGGATGGGCGCCAGCTTGCATCGGGCTCCCGCGACATCACCGTCAAGCTCTGGGACACGGCCACAGGCCAGTGCCAGCAGACGCTCGAGGGCCACAACAGCTTGGAGAACGTATTCGAGGTGGCGATCCAGGAACCAACTGGAGACCTTATGGGTCAGCGTTATATGCTCTCACAACAGGACGCATGGATCACGAATAGGTCTCAAAATATTCTTTGGTTACCGCCGGAGTACCGTGCAAGGTCTCATGCGGAAGATGGATCAAAAATAGCCGTTGGATGTCAGTCGGGGCGCGTGTTACTTTTGTGTTTTAAGTCAGAGTATCTACAGCTGTAAAGTACTAGTT